AGACGTTGGTCATGAAACCAATGAGTGTATTAGCCTCATGCGCTACCTGGACCGCCTGGCTGAAAAAGGTGATCTTGACTCCTATGTCAAGAAGTCCAAGGGGAATGCTCCCCCTAAACAAAAGCAGTCGGCCAAGAAGAATCACCGGTCGGCCGACAGTTCTGATACTAACGACGTCGTGGTCTATACCATAGCAGGCGGGTTTGCAGGAGACGGCCCCACGATTAGGGGCAACAAAGATAACATCAGGCAGCTGGATGTAAACTCCGTCAGTCAAGGACGGACCACCAAAAGCACATTCCCAGAAATTTTTATCACAGAAGAGGACTTGGGAGGTGTTAGGGGGCTGCATGACGACCCCATTGTCATTGAATGTAAAGTGGCCAACCAAAGAGTTGGACGGATCCTCATAGATACCAGCAGTTCCTCTGATCTAATCAGCAACAAGTGCTTGGCAAAGCTCAAGTACAGGCCTGACTGCATACACCCGGTATCTCACCCTTTAGTGGGGTTTGCAGGAAGCGTTGTACACCCAGTGGGACGAGTGGATCTACCCATCCGTCTGGGTGAGAAAGAGGAGGGTCGTCACATGGTGGTTTGGTTCTTGGTTGTTGAAGAGCTCTCGGCCTATAACATGATCTTAGGACGACCCACCTTGAACAATTCCAAAGCTGTTATCATCACATCTCTCATGTTGCTCAAGTTTGAGAGGGATGATGGAACAGTCGGCTCCCTAAGGGGAGATCAGAAGATGGCATGAGAATGTTATCTCTCTGATATTAAACCCACTGTGGAGAATGCAAGCCCACGTGGAGAGAAAACTGACCTTGACCAGATAAAGGAGGATGTGCATGCCCAAGCAGCAGGCGGCAAGAAAAGAAAGGCTGCCCAACTGGGGCCGAGATGAAAGAGAAAAGATAGCAATCACTAGCAAAGGAGCGGTCAGACGAATTCCGCCCTCAGCCGGCTGGTGAGCATACGGATGTCGTCCTGGACGACTCACGTCCTAACCGAACAGTCAAAGTTGGGACGACTGCTCTTGCCGTATTGGGTGATGATTTTCACCAACTCTTGAAGGAATTCAAGGATATCTTCGCATTCAAAGTACATGAAATGCCAGGCATTAGTCCAGACCTGGCCGTGCATAAATTAGCCGTGGATCCGAAAAAGAAGCCAGTCAGGGAAAAGAAGCGGAACCATGGCGAAGAAAGAAGTCAGGCGGCTGCCGCCGAGGTTAAAAAGTTGCATGATGCAGGATTCATTCGGAAATGTTATTTCCTAGACTGGGTTGCAAACGTTGTTCTAGTAAAGAAGCCGAATGGTACCTGGCGAATGTGTGTGGATTACACTGATTTGAACAAGGCGTGTCCCAAAGATAGCTACCCACTGCCAAAAATTAACAGTCTAGTCGACTCAACAAGCGGCCACGCTTTAATGAGCTTCATGGACGCCTACTCTGGCTTCCATCAAATTCCTTTGTGGAAGAAAGATCAAGAGAAAACGGCCTTCGTCACTTATCAAGGGTTGTATTGCTACACGGTCATGCCGTTTGGTTTGAAGAACGCCCCGGCCACCTTCTAAAGAATGATAAACACAGTCTTCTTTGACCAAATCGGAAGGAATGTCGAGGCATATATAGATGATATGATTGTGAAGTCCAAGCTTCAGACGGACCATCTGGCCAACCTCCGAGAAACATTCACCAGACTCATGCGGCACCATGTCATACTCAATCCCAAGAAATGTGTTTTTAGAGTTGAGTCTGGGAAATTCCTTGGATTTCTCATCAACCAGAGAGGTATAGCGGCAAACCCTGAAAAGGTGCAGGCGGTCATAGACATGCAGTCGCCTCGCACGGTCTGAGAAGTTCAGAAGTTAACAGGTTGTCTGGCGGCCCTGGGAAGATTTCTCAGCCGGTCAGGCGACAAGTGCCTTTACTTTTTCCAGGCAATAAAGAAGAAAGCCAGGTTTGAATGGGGGCCGGATGCTAAGGCGGCCTTCCAAAAACTAAAGGTCCATTTGCACTCCTTACCAAGGCTGGTCAACCCCTTGCCCAAAGAAGCGCTCTACATGTACCTTGCAGTGTCTAATCATGCTCTAAGTGTCGTCCTCCTTGCTGAAAGAGACGGCTGTCAGCTCCTGGTCTACTTTGTTAGTCATGTATTGAAAAATGCCGAGTTGAGGTACCCCCTAGTGGAAAAATTCGGTCTTGCTCTCTTCATGGCAGTTAGAAAATTGAAGCCTTACTTCTTGACACATTCAGTCATCGTATACACAGATCATCCAATCAAGCGGCCACTGACAACCATGGAGTCGTCAGGCCGAATGATCAAATGGGCGATAGAAATTCAGAGCTCTGAAATCACATTTGAGCCAAGAAAAGCGGTAAAAGGGCAAGCATTTGCTGATTTTATTGTAGAGATGACTCGGCCCTCTGATTCTCAAATTCCAGACCAAGTCTGGAAGGTATATGTGGACGGAAGCTCCACTTCGAATGGTTGTGGAGCAGGCGTCATATGTCAGTCGCAATAAGGCGACAGGTATGAGTATTCTCTACGCTTTAACTTCCAAGCCTCGAACAACGAGGCGGAATATGAAGCATTACTGGCTGGTATCTGCATGTGTAAGGCGGCTGGGGCAACAAAAATATACGCCTGCTCTGACTCATAGTTGATAGCAAGTAAGTACAACGGCGAATACGAAGCAACTCATCCGGCCATGATTAAATATTTGCAGGCGGTACGACAGGCGACTGGGTCACTCGAAGAGTTTCATCTAACTCAAGTACCCCGGTCTGAGAACAACCAGGTGGATGCTCTCTCAAAGTTAGCATCCTCGGCCTCCTGTGACACTCCAAGGACCGTTTTCTGGGAAGTTGTGGAGAAGCGAAGTATTGAAGAAGACCCGATTGGAATTCTAGATCGAAGTTCAACTTGGATGGACCCAATCAGGGCATATTTAACAGACGGCACCCTACCGGATTATCAATCCCAGGCGGCCCTACTGAAAAAACGGGCGTCCAACTTCAAAATCTGCAAAGGACAACTCTTTAAAAAGGGTTACCTTCAGCCCCTCTTAAAGTGTGTGACCCCAAAAAAAGGAAGAGAGGTCCTAGAAGATCTACGCTTAGGGTATTGCGCCTCACACGTAGGCGGCAGATCGCTTGCTCAACGGGCAAGGCGGCAAGGTTACTTTTGGCACTGCTTTGCATCAGTCGGCCGACCACAAGCAAACGGCCAAGTAGAAGCTTTCAATAAGATCATCTCAGATGGTATTAAGAAGAAGATTGAATGAGCAGGCGGCCTATGGGCAGACGAACTACTGCATGTTCTCTGGGCCATTAGGACGACTGAAAAAGGGGCGACTGGAGAAACTCCATTCCTCCTAACTTATGGGGCAGAATCTGTTCTACCAATTGAACACTACGAGCCGACTCTTTGAATAATGTTGTATGACGAAGAGGCGAACTGGGAGTCCATGCGCCTGGCATTGGACTCACTCCCAGAACGAAGGGGCAATGCAACCTTACGCCATGAAATATACCGCCTGAGAATGACAAAGTCATATAACAAAAGAGTGCACAGGCGTCCACTCAAAGTGGGGGACTTTGTACTAAGAAAGATGGAAGCAATCGGTAGGGCTAATGAATCAGGCAAATTAACTCCCAACTGGGAAGGACCATACCGAATCTATGAAGAGGTAAGGGACGGCACCTACCGCCTGGAAACACCAGACGGCCAACCCTTGCCTCGAACCTAGAATGTAGATAATTTAAAGAAGTATTATTTTTGAATGATGTAAATAGCCAAGAGCTATTAAGAAAGTTTGCTATTTTGCTTCAATAGTATTGTACTTAGAGAGGCATGCCGCCTTCTCCATGAGCAGCCGACTACTCTCCGTTTTTTCATCAATTGAGGGGCATGCCAACTGGTAAAACAGCCGGCTACTCTCCATTTTACTCTAATATGCATTCAATTAAGAGGGGCACGTCGCCTGTGGTTATACAGTCGGCTACTCTCCTATACTCAGTTCACCATGAACTACCTAAGGCCTTTAGCCGAATGATCAGACCAGGCGTCAAGCCAACTGATCCAATCTTTAAATTAATACGACCTATCCCAACATCATAGCAGGCGTCCGGCGGCATCCCTCCGGATGAAATTCATCGCAGAGAGCAGCTCCCTTTTGGGTGGAACATTGCTCTATAAACAAATTACACGGCACCTAGACGACTGTTCCCAAGGGCAACCACGTAGCCGTTTTTGAGATAAGGATAACCCTAACACTAAACCAAACAAGTGTTAGCAGTTGACATCCGCGTCGGATGGTCGTCTATATTACTTGGGATAAGTACAGTCGGTACCTCTTGAGTAAATAGCCAATAAAAATTGGCGAATCAAGGGGATCAGCTAACCTTCGGTGGCTGGTACCTCTACTACTCAAGCAAAAAAGCTAACGAATGGGTAATCTCCAAGATTACTCATGAGTCACTCTCTCATACTTAGTAAGGATCAACAAAGGGTATGCAAGTTCGCCTGTCCAAAGGCACGCAAGAGCTCTCATACCATGACCCATACTAAAATGATTTCTTTTCAAACCAAACATGTTTGAAAACCTGGTTCAAAGGTCGATTGTTTTTTAGCAAACAGAGACTCAAGAACTATTCCTATTTAAACAAACAGGCGAGTTGGTTATAAGTGGCCTGTTCCTTAATAACTTGAAAAAGTTAAACAAACCTAACATGTTTCCTAAAATACGTTGGGGATCCGCCTGGGTAAATGGCCGACTAATTGCCTAACCAGGAACCAAGATAACTTGTCGTCCAGGCGCATAGGCAGTCGGTACCTAGTACATGTTCGCAATTTTTTCCTTACAAATTTTAAAACATTTATTAGCCGAAACAGTCGGTATGGTATGCAAGTGGATATCAAGGATCCTCTACACTTGGCAAAATAAAGCATAAAACAATATTCAGTGATAAAAGACGATCGAAATATGGTCGCCACATTCATATATAAAAAGCCGGCCATAAAGACCGGGAAAATATTCAGAGACCCTGGCCCCTTGGCCGGGTAAAGTGATACAAGAACAAATGGCACGCAGGCAGGATAAAAGTTTGAAAAAATAAAGCTTTAAGCATTGGGAGGAGCTTGAGTCTTAACTGTCGCCTGATCGAGTGCATTCCCTTTGGATGACTTACCTTCAAATGCAGGAGCTTTAGGCGCATCCTCCTGAATTGGCTGAAGGGCCACCACTTCTTCCTCCTCTTCTGAGCTGTAGTCGGCCGCCTCGTCTCCACCAGCCGCCTGCTACATAATCATTCTTTTGTACTCTTCAATACAAGCATTGAACTTCTTTTCCCAGGCGGCATAGCTGGCTTTTGGGAAGAGGGTTGTCCAGGTCATCTTCATGATCTGGGCCGAGTCCTCCATCATGGCTTGAGCTAAAGCCATCTTTTCAGCCTCGGCCTTAGCTTTGAGGTCTTGGGTGATGGCCGCTTCCTACTTTTGCAGGCGATCCTTGACACTCTCCAAGGATTTCTTCAAGGATTCATGTTAGTGCGCTATATGCTTAAGCGGCTTCAGCTCCTCTCGAAGATTTTTGACAGTCGTCTCCAGCTCATCGTTCTTCTTCTTGGCCGCCTCCAACTTGGTGCGGACAGTCGAAGTAGCCTGCGCCTGATAATAAAGAATATCAGTTGTCAAAATTTCATTTTGGGCAATTTGAAACATTTCCTTATCAACGTCAGAGGCGGTCATAGCTTTACCAGCATTTACCTCTTTGTTCTTGGCGCTGATTGGCCTTCGGAGGCCATGTACTCGCAGCATGGTCTGAAAAAGGGAAAACAGGCGTTAGATTTGGAAATAACAGGCGGCAGGCAAAGTCAACATAAAAAAAAAAAAAAAAAAAAAAAAAAAAAAAAAAAAAACCTCTAAGTCTACCTCTGAGAGGAGAACCATGATGCCGTCTAGGTCAAGGGTGCCGACTCCCTTGACCGCATCCCTCTCCTCTAGAGGGATGGCTTTAACCATAGACTTGGCCATTTGGACCAAGTCTGGTTCTTGGGGGCCGCCAGCATCCAGGAAAGAGAAAACATCAAAACATGTAGAAAACAATGAAGAAAAAAGTTAAGTCTAGCAATGCCAAGTTATACCTCTTGGTGGTCGGCTGTCCCTTGGGACTTGAATTGTTTTCCCCACACTTTGTGGGGTTGTCTGCGCAGGCTTCTCAGCCGGATCTTTCTTGGAGGAGCCGGGCGAGCTCTTAATTGCCAGCTTGCGAGCCTTCGCATCCGGCTATTGTGAAGAAGAGGGTTTGGACGTGCCCGCCTGCGAAAAATATGAAATGGTCAATACTAATAATAGCAGACTTTCAAGGAAAAGTTTGAAAGATCAGAAACTCCCTATGGGCGTCTCCTTGGCATTAGAATCAGAAGAGGACCGCTTCTGATGCATGACGGAGGCCCGCGACAAGGCGACCGCCTTCTTTGATGAAGAGATCTAGTCCATAGCTTCAACTGAAAATAAGAACCGCAAAGAGTTAGAAAAATTCGAAAACAAAGCAAAAGATGTGTTCATATGCTCAAGAGGCCGGCTACCTCTAGAGGACCGACTGCTAAGGCCGCAGGTGGCCAGAAAATACTCATCATAGAGCCATTGAAACTTTGGGACGCAGCTTAGGGGCACTTGCTCTCGTACCCCAGTAGTAGAGTTTGCCCTAATCTCTACTTTGAAGAGTCCTCGGTCAAGGATCTCTTCCCTAGCCTTGCGGGGGACAAGCGGCATGCTACGACCGCTTGCTAGATGAGGCGGATCCTTGTTCCACCTGTAATAGCGCTTGTTCAGCAGCTTGTCTAGACTGGCAATGATGAGGAAGGTGTTTCTCCAATCCTTCCATTTATTTTCTTTGCCCCTTGTCATCAGATAGCCTTTGTGGCTCGTTATCTGATACCAGCCGGTACCGCTTGATTTGGGGGTTCGGCTGAGGTAATTCATATGGGTGAACGCCTCAAAATTTGGCTCCACCCCATGCATTTCACACCCGGCTACATAGCCAAGGATGTTGAACTAGGAATTCGGGGCTAACTGCCATAGCCCCACCTCGTATCCATCGAGGATTTGTTGAACGACCGGATATAAGGGAAATCGCAGACCAGCCCTAATGGCCGCCTCATAACAGCCAAAGCAGGCGTCCCCGTAGCTGGCTCCGACTGGCCAGGTGACGGCATTTTTCAGCATCCGGCAAAAAAACTTAGAAATCAGGACCCATCACATGGTCCGATAGAAAAGAGTTTATTCGTTCCTTCATGGCCTTGATTCGACCCTTTGGGACATGACAGTAGTAAGGAGTATTCAACTCCCTATGAGAGGCGGATGGTTCCGACCAGTCGTCCCCATCTTCAGCCACATGAGAAAGTCTCGCCTCATGCAAACGAGAATGCCTTTCCTCTGAGTTTATAGAAAGGCGGCTTGAAGAGCTAGAGTCAGACTCGCTATCAGAAGAGTCCGACTCCTCCCCCCTCCCTGAGGGGGCCGACCCCTCTTCTTCTTCAAGGGCCACCTACTGACTGGCCAGGTCAACAGTGAATTGGGAAGGGACTACCTTAGCTCCCTCCTCATAGCTCTCGACAGAAGGGCAACCTTGGGTCCCAGCGGTATCAGGCGGCTAGTCCGACAGCTCACTAATCTGAACCCGGAAGAGGAGCCATTAGAGCTTTCAATCCTCTTTTTTCTTTTTGTTCTTTCCATATTGTCCTGCATAGATACAAAGACAGTTGGATTCCGAGACTTGCTCAAAGTTTGAAGTACCGCAGGGCAGTCGGCACCCCTAGTCCTAGACTCAGCCGTCCCCGATGACCGGCTGATTGCTAACCTAGGTCGTGCCGGATGCTTTTGAGGCCTCATTTTCAAAAAGGAAAGAAAAAGTGCAAAAGCAAAACAGAAAAAGGATAAAGGAACGGACGGTTACCTGAAACTTAAGTTCTGAAAGAAGGCTTGATCGAACAGGCGTCTGGAAAAAGTAGGTTGTTGGTAAAATCGGTCGTCCAGAAAACCAGAGCTCAAGTTCAGGGGTCCGAGAGTTCTCTTGAAAAGATCGCAAATGTGAACAAAAGACTTGGTCAACATGCCCTTATATAGAGTAAAATGAGAATGCGAAGGGTCACTTCTGAATTCAAAAGATGAGCGGGAAAAGCGCTCGGCCCGTTACAGGACGCCACCTATAGCAGGCCTTCGCCTGTTACAGGCCGACACCTTTCACAGGTAACATGTGACCAATCACGTGCCACCTGTGAGGGGAAAATAATTAGGGGATTTTTCCCCAACCAGTCATCATCTGACAAGTGGACCGTTCAGGCCCTGCCATGTGTCTGCCACGTGAACCAATGGGAACCTACCACGTGTTAGGCGTTGATCCGTCCACCTTGGACCAGTTGTGCCACGCCATGTGGCCTCCTCCATGCCAAATGGGCAAAAACGGCCACCTAGGCCCAGTTTCTGGAAAAGCCCAATCAGCCCCAGGTTGACCTAAACCTAAGACTGTCACGCTTCCCAAGGCTATAAATACATTAATTAATCCTCATTAAACGGGGTTAAGCACTAATTACTCTCACCTAGAGAAGCTTAAACACTTTGATCACTCCTTCCCGAGAGGAACCAGATCTCCAACCTTTACTTTTCCGCACTATTCACTCCTCATACAAGTACTAACTTGATCGTCGGAGGCGGAACTCCTACCACAAGGAGTCTCCGTTATTTGGCAGGTACAAGCGCAAGGATACCAGTCCTGGAATTGTAATTCTCCCGCAGGACATCAGAAAACCCCGAAACACCAGCCAGCCCACCACTTGCTGGCAGGCGCCAGCATGCGAGCTAGCATGCGTAGCAAGCAGCTGGTGCTGGCCAGCGTAGTGTACTGTGTTGGGCGTAGCATACTAGCACCAAGCACCATTGTGCTGCTGCTGCGTGTGTGGCGTGGGCTGCTGGCATGCTTGTGCTGCTGCTGGGCAGCGAGGCAGCAAGCCCCAGCCAGCCAGCCCACTGTTGCCTAGCAGCCATGGTGCGCAATACACCATGCATGGTGGTGGCTATTTTGCTTAAAACTTGAGCTATGTATTTTGCAAATTTTTCCCTTTTTTAAAAAAAAAAAAATTATGTAATTATTTTATCAAGGTTAAAACCTTAATTTTTCGGTTTTTGCAAAATTTTGACAAATAATGGGTTAAGCCGACTTAATTAATTGGATTGATTAAGTATGGATGCGGAATTTAGTGGGAGCTTAGTTGATTACTTGAGCAATTTGCATTTTTAGAAATAATGGATTAAACAACTTTGACTAGTGTTAATTAGGCGCGTTAATCGAATTAACCACCAAAGTTAGTTACTAGTTTAGCGTGTTTAATTGTGTATTTCGTAATATGCATGTGCCATTCACAAATAGTGAATGGATGAATGAAAGATTGTTATCAAAATAGGTTTTGAGAAAATGGCAACTAGTGGGACCCGACTAGGATAGAAAATACGGACTGCGTTCCGTTATGTATTTTTGTAAGTCTAAATACGGTCTGCGAACCGTTAAGTATTTTTGTACTTTAGATTTATTTTAGTCGTAGTAGCTAGTTATTTTATTTTGGCAAAGATGTCTCAAGATGGCGTTTCGATGAAGACGAGCCAAGATGAAGACCCTTGAAGATTTGAAGATTTTAAGGGGTCATGCTAGTTGCCAAATGCATCAAATTTATGCTTTATATATATATATATATATATATATATATATATATATATATATATATATATATATATATATTATTGTTATATATGAATGTTAGATGCATGTATAGGATTTCATATGTTGCGACGATTAGTTAAGTTCACTTAAATCAACCAACATAGAAACCCTAGGTCCCTTAAAAATATTGAGCTAAAATTTGCCGTTCCAAGAACAACACTTGCCGAACTAATGCGCATGTGTGATGGGCTACGCCAAAGCGAGGCATCACTACTTCCCTTGGAACGTAAGGTATACTAGGTATACAAGTTGTCTTGGTTAAGCTCAACGATATCAGTAAGGAGTCCTTAGATGTCGTGGCAAAAGAGATAAAATGTCAAGAATGCATTAGATGCGACATTTTATCAAACTGAGAGTAGCTTAGAGCTATTAGCAATTGGATTGCTTACCTTAAGATATTAAATGTTAAGACAAGCCAAAGCATGCTTAATCATTTCTTGATCTTTGGGATCTCGGAATCATTTTATTCTCGCCTAAAAGGGACAATTTATTAATGCGTGGATAAAGTGCTCAATAAGATTGAAAATTTGCATGAACGCTTTTAAATTTCAAACTTATTGATTATATGAATGGTTTTTCATTTCAAATTCTTTTAATTGTAGAACAATGTCTACAAGTAACTCAAACAACAACCATGTGTGCCCAGAACTCCCCGAAAAGTTGACATTTTGCTTCAACTTGGTCAACTTTAAGGAGTGGGAGGAGGAACTCGGGAAAACTCTCTGGAGTTGTTCCAAGGAGTATGTTCTGGATACTTCCCTCCCAACCCTCTATAGCAAGAAAGACTTGAGTGACGAAACTTATTGTGAATGGTCCAATGATTGCAAATTAGTGTCACAACTCATGGCTAACTCCATCCTGGAAGAATGGAAAGAAAAACTTCCATTCTCTTTTCTGGACTTATTCCTTGGAGGACTAAGGGATGTTGTCGGTGTGAGATTCTCTAAGAGTTTCAACGACAACAATGATGGACTCTTGTTTGAGGTGACTAGGTCACTTACAGACATGAATGTGAAGCTATCAGATCAAGGTTGTCTTTCTAAAGAGAGGTACCATCTTTGGTCTACGGTCTGTAACACTAAGTTGAGACCGGGTATGCCCCTCCGACCCCATGTGGCAAGAATGACTAGGCTCTTCAAGCACATGGAAATCCTCGAAATCCCATTAGAGGATGGAATGGCTGGTCATATTATGCTCTCTTCACTCCACTCAGGATATGATGCACTAAGGGCATATATTTCTGAAAGAAAGGAGACACATTCTTTGAAGAGTGTGGTGGAGCTACTTCACCGAGCCAATTCATTTGGGGAA